TAAATAATAATTTTATAGCGTTTATGTTCACGGTAAAATCCATGAATTCAAAATTTCCGTTCGCGTCAAAATTGAACTTCACGAAGGTTAAGTTGGCATTTGAAAAAAGAAGTAACGCTCGACAACCAACTAGCGATGGATTCCTCAATATTTTTCTTTTTCCACTAAAGTGCGGTGTTTTATATACTCGTTAAAAAGTAATAAATAAAAAACGCAACTTATCACATTACAATTGATATTTTATGATGAAAAATTCATCGTAAAATTAGCTTAGAATAGCCAACATGATTAAGAGGGACTTTTTTTTTTTTTTTTTTTTTTTTTTTTTTTTTTCCAAGTGAAGTGGGAAGTCTGAATTTACGAGGACAGAAAATCCTAATTTTTCACAAATCGCTTACAATTTGAAATTTTTAAAGTTTCCGTCGTCTTCTGAGCAAACTTATAATGATGACACGCATGTATATTAAAGTGCTTGGTTCTTAACCTTATCATAATGTAAACAATTATTCTATATTTTACAAAGTCTCTTATTAAAAAAATAAAAAAATAAAAAACTACGTGACAACGCTGGACAAATTCAAATCGCCATTAAATCGCGCCCACCTTGCGCGTAGCACGAATATGTAGCGTAGCTCGTATAACCTTACAGGCTCATAAATGTCCACGACATTATTGTTAGCTACTCATAAATTCAAATTCTTTAGCTTTTACTGAAATCCATTGATCAAAATTGGCCATGAGGGACCACTAGCCGCGTTAACATGGGTTTTTTGAGCACATTCCGACGGCAAAGTTCCGTAAGCACCAGGAAAACGCACTTCCGAAAATCTCCAAAGTCAATCCTTCAGAGAGAAATAAACCTTTCTTTGTCCTTAAACTCAAATGTCTCACTCACAGCGGAGTAAAAGTTATTCTTGGATGCAGATACTCTACTAATGGTTACAGCTCTCAGTTCGATGTGGCCTGCTCTACAATCGAACGCGTGTTTATGAATCTGTGACCATCGATGTTGAGCTCCGTTAGCAAAATTGGCCAGTCCGCGGACTGAGAAAAGCAAAAGTGCCTTCAATTTTAAACATGCAACACGCGCAACCGTGGGACACGAATAGTTGCATCAAGGCGCTACAAACAACGCGGGTTGAGATACTGTGTAGGTTGCGAAAGTGCCTTCAATTTTGAACATGCAACACTCACAACCGTGGGACACGAATAGTTGCATCCAGGGGCTACAAACAACGCAGGTCGGGATACTTCGTGTTGAAATAATTACCGATTTGAAGCGGTCATTCTAAAAAGACGTAAGTGCAAGAAATCTTTTTACAAGGAAAACAGTAAAAAAATCGTGTCGGTCTAAATTTCAGAACTTCGAAATATTCAAGCGATAAAATGGAGTAATCACATTATTATATAATCTATGATTTAAAACGGGTCAATTATTTCAATTTCTTGAATTTTTATCGAGTTTTCATTTCTGACGCTGAAGTCTTTTTAATATTGACCGATTCCATTATTGGCCTAACATACTCTGGCTTCGTGTCGTTCACGATTAGCATAGATTATTATTATTTTGTTTTTCAGTGCATAAACGTTTTTTCAGTAACTACCACTGACGATCACTTGAAAAATTTGAATTTTCCAGCGAAATCCCCCAGAGTAACAGCTTGAAAAGTAATTTAAGATCCAGAAATTAATCACCCTTTTGCTTAAAAAGACCAGAACTTTTGAGGTTGACTTTCAGAGGTGCAGTAATGACTCTCCATCCTTGGATAGCGGCACGCAGCGAGCGATCTCATTAGTGCAGGGATCAACAATTTCCTCTTATCTCGTTGAGTTATTTAATAGTCTACTCTATTTCTCGGGTGCAACAGCGAATCAAATTAATTTCGTTAATGTAAAGGTTTTCGTATTGCATCAAGAAATTCATGTTTATAATTAGATCATAACGCTCTGAGAGGTAACGGTGTTTCCAGCTGAGTGCTGTATCCTCCTTCCTCGGAAAATTTACATAATGGATTCAAGAACTTGTAACGATCGTATCGTCTTCGTGGAGTCAGTAAATGAGCTTTTGAATAGCAAAATGATGTTCTTCGTATTATGCCTATGATCTTAAAAGTAAGAGAGGAACTTAAATTGGTCGGATTCCAGGGTCTGCAAATAGGCTAAGTTCTCAGGAAGGAATGAAAGGAGGTTGTTAGTAGACATCAATATTACTTGGGTGCTTTGCTAAAGTTCCAAATTTAAATAGAGCCATACCCAAATTACACGGTTTGAATCGTCTGGATTGCCAAATTTACTGATAATTTTTTATAGGTCATTTTATTATAGCGGGAAAAAAGTGTTCGGGGTTATCCCCTAAAATTGTGGTAATACCCCAATTTTTGTTTCAGGACATTCCGTGAACGATTTTTTGTCCAGGCACCTATTTCGTCCAGTAATTTACGTCCACTCTTAAAATAAAAAACAGTGACCAGGTTCAAAGGTTATATTCCAGTCTGTATGTAAAATTATATTGCCAATATCGAATTAGAAAATTGAGAGAGAAGAAGGTGTTGTTATGGTAACTCATTTTTTGAATGAAATGTTACTTTCATCTTTTTATTCACCTTTCAAATTTTCATTGGTGAATATTTGGTTTTACTTCTATCTATAAAGTTAGTTAGTTAATATATTTTAAGACATTCAGTGTCACAACCTATTAACGTTAAAATTGTCGATTTAAAATATACTGCATATATATACCTTTTTTTAAATGATAATATTACTTTATTTTAAAAAATTATATTTTTAAAACGTGGCAAATATTTGTAAAACCTTTTTCAAGCAATGGCATCGATATTAATCTCAATGAGCCGTACTTTGTGTTGAAAGGAGCTATACAAAAATACAAAAGAGAGAAAAACCAAGGAGGACGCAATCTTTGGTTTTAACCTACTTTTAAATCGATCTTTTACAGTCAAACACGTCCAAATTTGAGCGTTTGGTTGCGAATGCACCACGCTGCAGCACACTAAAAGCACAAAATATAAAGGAAAAATTAAAAAGCTTTGGAAATCATTCAATTAGACACAAAATTACCTTAATATTTTCAAAACACACGTTATATTTTCCTTTAATACATTTTTTTTTTTCATCAATTTAAATGAGAATAATCCGTGCAGAGCGTGCAAACATTTCAAAATCATGAGTTGAAAAACGCTGACTCCGCAAGTTTAAATATTATAGTCTAATACAGCGAAATGCGCACTGGCGCCTACAAACCTAACGGGAAACTTCACGCGTTGCGCAATGCGTGAAGTATCCCTGTTAGGTTTGTAGGCGCCAATGCGCGTGTCACGCTGGTCGCCCGCCGCGCCGCGGAGTGCTACGGCGTTTCAAGCAACTATTTCGCGACATAGGTGCTGCACAGTATCATACGAGATTGAAGGCGCTCCAACGTATCAAGAATGACAAGCTTCCTTTAAGGGTACGGACCTTTCCTTGCAAAATAAATCAAGATACTACGTTACAAAAAAAAGCGGTAATCTCAAAAACTCACTTAGTCCTAGCATCCGTATTTAATAACTTTCAGCGTAATTTTTGAATTTCATTAGAGAAAAATGTGGCTTGATTTAAGCAGAAACATTATTGAGTATGCCGTCAAGAAGATTTTATTTTGAATCGAGAATAAAATAGCTGAATGAAAGCGGGGTTTTGCTTGATCTAAGTGACTTTTATTTTTATTTAAGCATCCTTTTTTCTTTAAACAGGCATTATTTTCTTTATTGATTTATAAGGAAATCTTCTCGGCGGTACATTTGACCATATTTCTGCTTGAATCAAGTCACTTTTTCCTCTAATTAAGTTCAAAAACCATGCTAAGCATTACTGGATCCAGATACTAGGACTTAGCAAGTTTTTCGACTACAGCTCTCTTTTTTTCGTCTTCAATCGATTTAATTTGAGAGGGAGCCTCGTGCTTTTGAAAAATGCCATCAATCATGATACGTTGGGGGGGCCTTCAATCTTGTATGATACTCTGCAACACCTTCATGGCGAAATAGTAGTTTGCAGCGCCGCTGCACGCCGGCGCCGCGCCGTAGCGAAGTTATCGTACACAGGAAAAATCTGAGAGCCTGGTGTAAGAGGATGGGATTATCTTGAACGATAATTAAGACCTGTTGCACCAAAGAGGTGTAAAGAGTTTTAGATAATTTTTCCCTCGCATGGAATTGACGCCAAAATTCTCAATTATATATTTGTTTCCGTTTGGCCAACCAAACAAATAAAAAACGAGCAAACCCTCATTCTTCCAGGAAATTAAACATTTCATCTGAAAACGTCGTGATCAAATGTTGTTTGTATTTAAATGTTGACCAATTAACTTTGGGTCTCAATAATTGATAAGTGGACCAAAACTCCCCTGCCGAAAAAACGCGTGGACTTAAACTACTGGAAAAAACAAGTGCTCGGACAAAAAATCGTTGACAAACTGTCCTATAACCCCCAATTTGTTGAACGATATGAATATTTTTAATTTATTTTGAACACCGCTTGCGGTAGTGTCGAAACATTTGGGTTAGTGACCTAATTTATTGGGTTACTACCGAGGCACTGCCACAAATATTTCTGTCACTATCGCAATTAAATGGGGCACCACCACAGTTAATTAGAAATGTCCAGTTTGAACTAAACACCTACCTCTTTTTCCGTGTACCATCGGCTCTATAACCTCCAAATTTTTCATTTTTTGTCACTGTTCGTTCTACCATTTTTCTGGGCCGATTTCCATGATTTTTGCGGCTAGCGACAAGTCAGGTGACAGCTTCTAGATGAGCTCACTATATTTGAATTAAATCACGAAGGTCCGCAAAGAGAACCTTGAAAGGCGCGGAGCTCCCCTTGGGGGTCGAGCCTCGCTGCGGGGAAGGGGGCGTGCCCCCTGGCATTATTCAATAAACAATAAGCCCTAAATTCCCCCATCTTAGCCCTATTCCACTCATTGTGATTTTGTATTTTTACAGGCTCCTCCAGACTGCCGAGTGCTGTTCAGAGTGCAGGGGGATGGCACTCACCTGTGAAACCAATAGCTGATAGCGCAACTGTGAGTCATAAACTAGCTGACAACACGTATGGAACTAGTAACCCTCAAGCAGCTATGAAAGTTCAAAACTCGACAAGAGTCGGGGGTGAGAAGCATTTACATTTTTGATTTTTTCAATTCGACAGCACAGAAACTTGATGCATTCTCTGGCGATAATCAGTCCTTCCAATTTCTAAAATATTTTCAAAAATGCATAAAGTAGTGGTATGAAACAAATATCCATGTGTGATTGGAACTATTATGCAAACAGGAAGAAAATTTCAATTGGAGCAAGATTCAAACTTGAGAGCCGTATACATACTACCAATATACATGTTGCTTCGTACTCACTCGCACTAATTCTCCTTCAATATGCCATTAGGCCAATGTGCGTATCAACTTTCTGTCATACTTTATTTTTTAAATTGAGAACAACTCAAATCTTTAAGATCTCTTTGATTTTTCTTCTTTGTGCGAAGAAAATTCTCTGACTAGTTCTCCTTCAGTTCGCTGATAGACATTGGGGGTGTCACCGGAGCAGTAATAGTTATCTGCAGTCATTTTACGCAGTTAAATTGGCGAAATCATTGCTTTAGCGCGTAAATATTACTCTACACGCTATAAGAACAAATCCAAAATGTATGTATGCAAACTTTATAATCCACAGGAATTATGTATCACTCAATAGCCAAGTTAACCAAGTAAAGTGATGTATGAACTTAGGAATTCAAGAAACATACTGTCGATAAAAATAATGCAATTTAGACTTTCATTTATCGATACTAATTTCAGAAGCCGGTTCGAGAACAGTATAAACAAATAAAATGGTTTATTTATCTTTTCATCCGCCATAAAAATGAAGTGAAGCGCTCTCAATTCGCATTAAGTACACTCCAGAGTGCATCCCATCCAATACTGAAGTACCACAATTGCAATTCCATATGAAATCGTCCTCTTCGAAATATGTCCCGAGGAAACGTTAATTTTAGACGACACGAGATGTCTCACGTATGCGCATAATTTTTAACTCCTATATTCAGCAAACGTGAGCTCCCGTTAGTAGTAAAATTATGAGTCACCGGAGTGTTGGCAAGTAATTCTTCGGAGCGATTGAACTTCCCCATTCAAATGGAAAGTATGTGCATTGTGCTGCAACGCTGAAGTTGAGTGAAAAAAAATGTCTTATGAGCGTTTGGATGTTGCCAAAATTCCTGTAATATAATACACGTTTTCTGGAGGATTTTTGAACGTCCTTTTTTATAGGTTTTACACTGAAAAAAAAATCTCGGTGTATTTACCAAGAAAAGGGTAAAATTACCAAGAATTCAGGGTTCTATTTGATCCCAGTTTTTTCTTGGTAAAATTACCATTTATGAAATGGTCTCTCGGTAAAATTATTGAACTTTCTCGGTAATTTTACTGGACCTTGGTAAAAACGCCAATATTTTTTATCGACTGTGGTAGAATTACCGAGATAAAATGGCAAAGTTACCGGGAATTGATTATTACCAATAAAAGTGGTATTCTTACCTGAAAAAAACAGTAAAAATACCGGTTTTTAGGTAAGCCTACCAGTCTGTCCTGGTAAAATTAACAATAATTGGTAAAAAAAAAAGTGAGACGGTAAAGGTACCATCGGACCTTGGTAAAAACGCCGAGAATTTTTTTCGGTGTAACATTTTTTAATTTATAGCTTTTTTGTAATAAATCTGAAAATTTCAGCTAAGACTATTAATGATCCGTACCAAAAATGTATGAAGTAATTAATGAATGTATAATTCACCGAGAGAAATTTGGTCGCGTTTGAACGTTCATACGCTGTTTTTCCTTAGCACGGTAGAATTAGAACGGTAAGCCTAAGCTTTGGTTATTGTACCTACGTACTCATATCTGGCTCACCCATGAATGCAGATGTCATTGTTTGGCTAAATGCTGTCCAATTATGAGGCGTGTGGGTAACTGTATTTTGTGCTTCCTCTTTTTTAAAACATAGCCTCACTCAAAATAACTGTCACGATGTCGGTAATTTGATGTACCTGCCTCGAATTTTAACAAGGAAGAAAATCTCGACACAATATTGTAGTAAACCTATCTGGGCGTCATATCTTACGACTGCTTCTTGTTCATCTTCTTCTTGGATCTGTATCGCACTTTCAAATCGGCGGTTCTCAAACTTTTTACTGGCGGACACCCTGTGAAGTCCGCTTGACATCATGCAGACTTTTACTACGGCTCAGCAACGTTGCCAAGGCGTGCAATAAATTGCCGCTTCTCTAACGTTAGGGCATATTTCAATGTCCACGTGGGCCCTATTGTCCGTATAACCTCATACTTGTCAGGGCTCACACCTCACAACGAAATAGAGTTACGCCCGTGCGTAAGATGAGCGACTAAACGGGGGTAAAAATTTCCAGCTCAATCCGGCAACGATGAAGCTCAAGGGTGTCATCTCAACCAATCGTAGAGAAAGAGTATGAGAGTAACTTAAAGGTGATAAAATATGTCTGACAGGAAGGAGAGAGAGTCAAGCTTCAAAAGTTTCACAAAATGCCCTAAAATTTATTTAAATTCTCCAAAACTAGACCTAAAATAAATTTTTTGTGGAGATCACAATTAAAAAGAAACGAGTATGATAAAATCAGTGGTCTTTTTTGAGTGTTTGGAAGTCATTCTTATTAATATACACCTTGAAAATCCACCTGAAAAAGATCAAAGGGCTAAATTCAAACAATGCGGATTCTAATTGCATTTTCACAAATCTCCGCTCAGGTTTTATTATCTTAAAGGAAAATAAACCGACGGTTGGAAAAAAAGAGAACAAATAGACCTGCAAATTTTTGTCACTTTATCACAAATATTCACAGAAAATTTCATAGAGATAATGTTTATACGTAAATTCCCTCATTGAAAATAAAACATAATTTATGAAAGCTTCAAACATTGCAACATGCAAATTATTCACTTTAACTATATCAATGTTATCTTTTAATACATATTTCCATTGTTATTTAGTCCCATCCCTATTGTTTGAGACTATACTTTTACCATTTTATCCGGGCGGAATCCTTAATAATTTTTCCGGCTTTGCACATGCAGAGGAAAATATTTTGTTCATTTCAACCGTGCCTTATCAACACTTACCCAAGGGCAAAAGACAAGGGTGCTGCGCTACGAATACCAAATTATGAAGTTGAACAAACAGGCGAAAGTTAACTAATGTGTAAGGCGTCAACGATCAAAGTAACTTTCAGATGAGCGCTAGAACGTTGATTAAGTTGTTGCGCAAGAAAAGCAAACTTTTCTCTTCGTTCACGGGAGGCTGCGGCTAAGGCATTAATCCCTCCGTTTCTCTCGGCTTCTCTGTATCCTAACTTGGAAGCTATCGTCCAAATTAAATTATCAAGTTCGTGTGGGTGTGAGTAACGTCATACTGCTATCTATTCCACCACTGATACGAAGCACAGCGGAATAAATAGAGGTGTTAGTTAGGTCTGTCTTGGGGGGCTCTAACTCTATGCAACAGAGTACAAGGAAGCATCCACCTTCTCATCCTGGAAACATCTGGCTATATTGACCGCACAGAAAACACCAAACTATTTTTAGGTGCGCTGAGAGAAATTTCTGGTTAAATCAAATGTAAACCGCATACCTCTGGTGCTGTTATTGCCAACGATAAATTCCCGGTTGCTCCAAAGAGAATTAAAATAATTTACGTAATATCGTCACTTTCCAGCCCAAGTATCACAAGCACCATAAGACGTTTAAACATTTCCGCCCCCATTTTATTTTTTTACAGAGAAATTGTTCAACGAAGCTGTCCGAAAATTCCACTGAATTTTCTTCAATACAATTCAGTGAAATGTTCAACAAGATTCAACCAACAATTCCTCTGTAAGAAAATAAAATGTCGGTGGAAATTTTGAAACGTCGTATAGCACTTGTGATACTTTGGCTGGAAGGTGCCGATTTATCGATGACCAAAGTTCGAAACCATACGCCATCTCCATTGAGATGTCACAAAGTTTCCGATTTAATATTGAATTTTTTCGAGAGAAAAGAAGCCAACTGCATAGTTTAAGATTCATACAAAATGTTCTGCTAGCGGAGAAAAAAATTAAGGAAGTTCATAAGAATTGAAGTTAACTAGTTTTTCAAAGAAAAAATCAAGTATCGTCTGCGACATCAGAAACTGAGATACCTCTGCGCATGATTTCTTACTTTGGTCATTGATACGTTGATTCTTTAGATAGAAAAAGTATTTCAGTCTTGGATGAAATTGCTGATAGTTGAAACAAAAAATCCAGAAAGTATAAGATGCGTCAAGGTTAATCAATGTAAAAAAATTAATTTCTGTTCAAATTTTAAAAATCAATCTAGGGAAGCAACTTATACTACCTAAATAATAATGTAATTAATTTTTCATTGATAACTCACCGATATTGTTTTGATTTCAGTCGGATCTTGGCGAGAGATAAAACTAACCGGACCTGAGCCAGGGAAATTCTACGATAGAGATGGAAGAACTCTGAAACCGTCATCTGCATGGAGGCACATCGCTTCGCCTCTTGTTCTTCTTTCTCTTACCTTTGTACATCTCTTCTCCTTATACCTTTAGCATGCAAATATCTATACTGTAAGGATAATGAAATACATGTCCCCAAAACCAGAATGACCGCTTATCTGGTAACAATAATCCGTATTAGAGAAAGGAAAGAAACAATCTGATTTACCTTCTTCAGACATTGTTGGAAGTCAACAACTTTTTGACTTGCATGTGAAAGAAGATTATGGGGACCATACTGGAAGGTCACATCATATTTCAGACAGTCACCCAAAAACTAAGGGAAAAAATGCCGTATTTCGGTGTAAATGTACCCGATTACTTACAAAAAGCTGGAAGAATATGACCTAACAATTATACGGGGATCAACAGTAAACCGGTTTCTTCGGTTTGCATTTTTTCTAAAAAATCCATTGCAAATAATAATCTCTTTAATTTAGACGACTTCCATCGGAAGAATTTTGTAAAACTTACTGCTAGAGTAATTTTCTATGAAATTCTTGGAAAGGGATTATACCAAAAAAATGTGTGCGATGATGGCAATTTTTTCGGTTTAACATTGCAAAGAGTGATGACATTAAATTCTCAAATAAATAGAGAGGAAACTGAGAATCGACCTTCAAATTTTGATCATTCAAAAATTGATTTTTACCAAAAAAGTGTTTCTTTTCAAACTGTTTAATGTCCTTTCAAGCCACCTATCAGTCACTTTTTATTGCATGAATCATAATTGATGGTATTTAAATTGATCTCTTTAGAATGTTTGCAATGCCAAAAAAGTGGATACCTTTTTCAAAACATTCAAAACAAAATAAATTGGATGTTTACTATCTAAACTTAAACTCAAAGATCAAAATTACGGTCCTAAAAATTGATCGCCGTATCAATAATATTTGTAGATTACCATAAAGTCTTAAGAACTATTGTCCTGAGTTTGGTAGTGTACAAAATTAATCTGGTAATGGCCTACACTCCTATGAAGAAATTTTACCTAAATATCCAGATACCAATCATCAACTCATTTTCATTGAGAATAATGAACCGTCGTGTTTTCCTATTGTGTAAGCTATTGTATGGTGTGATGTGAATAAGATTGATGGGAGTCAGGGAGAGCATTTTCATTTGATTGACAGCTGAATTTTTCGCAGTAATTTATATTTTAACAGGACAATTTTCATGGTGCATATTCATCACTTTGATGATAGACTTCACATTCAATCCCAACGAAAATTCGAAAATTAAGTCCAGCAGTCTTCAAATTTTTACCATGTACTTAGTAATACAACACAGTAAATTATTGTGTTTTAAAACTCCAAAAATAAAACTTTAAAGAAAAAGTCTATTCTAGTCATATTCATGGATACGTCATCAAAATTTCTTCACAAACCCTTTAAAGTAGCAACAGTTAAACTATATTATCATTGTAGTTATGAGGGTGACAGGACCAATCATCTGTAAAACATAATACCTCATATTAATTGATTATCATATTATCATATTACTTTAATTATTTACTTATCATTTCTGTTTAATTTATCTGCTTTTCTTCTTTATTTTGTTTGAAGTTTTTCAAACGAACATATTTAAACAATTTTAAACAATTTTAAATAAATGATCTGACATCAAAGTCGGGAGGAATGTCCTCTCAACCTTCATTTTTCGCCACAGCGTGCCTTCAGGAACTTGAACCATATCTTAGACTTGCTTTTATTACTGAAGTCTTTATAGTTGATGTCTCAAGAAAAAGTTTTGAACTTTCTTACTACCGCAGTTTCAAATGAATGGGACCAAAAATGATTTGTTTATCGATGTCAAACAATTGTAAGCATTTCCAGATAAAATGTACAGTGAAGTTCCTCATTGAAAACACGATATATTAAAATTTAAGTCACTCTGTTTAGCATCAAGTATAAATTTCTACGTATTCATCATTTGTAGTCATAGATAGCCTTCCTAATTTTTCCTGCCGGTATAATTACAAGTTCTTTCAAGAGTATGTTTGAAAGAGAAATCAAAAATAAGCCTCGATGGTAAAAATGCTTCTAGTTTGGTGGGACTGCGCATGGAATCATGTAATGTTTTTAATCATGTCCTAAAATTGGAAACAAAATCAGTTACAACCGGATAGAAAAAAATTATTTATTTACGTCAATAACAAATATTCCTCCGATTCAAATAATTAATTCAAATATAAATAACTAAAAAAAGATGATAGATAAATAAACGAAAATCGAGGAATCCAAGTTCAAACTCAGTAATGTTAATCAATTTTAGTGATCTAGCGGATTAGCAGTATGTTGTATAAATCGATGGTTCATTAGGGTGGCCCAATTATACACAGCAAAATTTATTTTGCGAATTTTTTTGGTCTTACCCCCTAGAACTGTTCCATTTGATCAAAAAACACTCTCTGCCAAGTTTCAGCCAAATCGGATAATATTAACCCGTGCCGACAGAGCCATCTTTTTTATATGGGATTTTACATTGAAAAATACTTTTTTCCTGAAAAATCCATTTTTCGAAAAATGTGTAATTTCTAGAAAAAATCTGAGGTCATATTCGGCTTCAGCAGGAAAAATTGAGTGGGGAAACATGTATTGGACACTTCAAAAAAAAAATTTTATCCCTCGTTATAGCGGCGAAACAACTGAAACATCTAAAAAGCGCTAAATAAGGGTAAAATGACGGTGATAAAACTCAAATAATTATGTACGTCTGCATCTGAAAAATAAGCTCATCATATGGTAGGTGTTACATAGGCACTTTTTTACGCTGAGTCCGAAAACGTTATCCATTTTTCTCTAGTTAATCAGGATTTTCCGGAAAATCGATTTTCTTGTATAGAAAGAGGGTTTTCCGGGGAAAACTCAATTTTCAAGATATGAACCTGAACATGTGACGGGTGTGTTTTATGTGTTTTTTAACGCTGAGTCCGAAAATGATGTCAAAGTTGCTCCAGTACATCGGGGTTTTCCGGAAAATCGATTTTCTTGTAGAAACAGGGTTTTCCGAGGAAAACTTAATTTTTAGGAAATGAACGATCGACTTGTATTAGATGTTTTTGGTGTGTTGTTTAACGGTGAATTCGAAAATCATAACCATTTCCCTCTATTCCACTAAGAGTTTCTGAGGAACTAAATTTGTCCCGTAAAAAAGGTAATTTTCCAGAGAAAACTCGGTACAATCAATTTCCCAGAAAATCCAGATGCACTGGAGCAACTTTGACATCATTTTCGGACTCAGCGTTAAAAAACACATAAAACACACCCGTCACATGTTGAGGTTCATATCTTGAAAATTGAGTTATCCCCGGAAAACTCTCTTTTTATACAAGAAAATCGATTTTCCGGAAAATCCTAATGAAATGGAGAAAAATGGATAGCATTTTCGGACTCAGCGTAAAAAAGCACCTACGTAACACCTACCATATGATGAGCTTCGTTTTCAGATGCAGACGTACGTAATTATTTGAGTTTTATCACCGTCATTTTACCCTTATTTAGCGCTTTCTAGATGTTTCAGTTGTTTCGCCGCTATAACGAGGGATAAATTTTTTTTTTTGAAGTGTCCAATACATGTTTTCCCACTCAATTTTTCTTGCTAAAGCCGAATATGACCTCAGATTTTTTCTAGAAATTACACATTTTTCGAAAAATGGATTTTTCAGGAAAAAAGTATTTTTCAATGTAAAATCCCATATAAAAAAGATGGCTCTGTCGGCACGGGTTAATATTATCCGATTTGGCTGAAACTTGGCAGAGAGTGTTTTTTGATCACATGGAACAGTTCTAGGGGGTAAGACCAAAAAAATTCCGACATCGCCAAATTTGGGCCACCCTAATGGTTCATAATGTGATGATTGCGCATCCCGGTTGAAATAAATTTAATAACTTCCGATGATGTTTCATATTCTTCAAAGATTACTGATCAAGCCGATTTTTTGTAGTGTGGAGAGATTTTTTTAAGATGAGAGAGGAAAATTAAGAGATAATTTCAACAGGAACTGACGGTTGGGTTTCCTAAAGATAGTAACATTTTAAAGTTGCAACCAGAGATACGCATTCTTTGCATTCAGCCATCAAAATGCATTTATGTGTCGTTGGTCTGGTATTTTTTTGAGTATTGGCAACATAATGCAAAGAGGAGTAAATTGTTATTTGGTGTAAAGTAGTTTCTCTATCGACACTAGTATATTTTCAATATCAGTAGAAATCGGCAATTCTGAGTTTTGATGCATAACCATCTTCAATACAAATATATGAAACTTATTGACGTATTGATAAGAACTTTTTTCTGGAAGGAACAAGAATAAAGTGAGAAGTTTGTATCAAGAAATCCGACCGAAGTTAATAGATTCAATCACATCACAGGTCTCTATTTAAGTTTCAGCAGTTGGTTGCCAGGACAATCGATTAAAAAAATATTACCGCGGAAATCGCAAAGTGCTCCCTACTTGTGATGAATCTCGCAGACGCTTACTATTTTAAGATACAACTTTGTACACGATAGTTATAATATTACTTGATGCATGGTATTTTGTAATTAAAAAAATTAAGTTTTACTTCTGTCTCACGTTTTTTGTAACACCTGATATTTGAAATTGATTTGATTATTTTCTGTGACGTTGAAAAGAGATAGCTTTATTATGTTACTTGTTATACTATATATTTAAATTAAACATATTACGTTTGAACCCTGCCTTATATTTTCATTAAAATTTGACAAGTGCTTTATTTGATCATATTCTGAGCTGTTGAAAAAGAGAGCTTTAAAGCTAAGTGCATTTGCCACTTTGTTCTCATAGCGCACTCCTGTAAAAAGTCTCAGTGTGCACATTTTATTCCATTGAAGTTAAAATTTTGTTTATTGTTGGAGCTTCCACATTTTTACGAGTTTTTATGGAAACACCTCAGATCTTAAAGGTAAAATATTACTTTGAAAAACCATTCCACAACCTACCGAAGCCAATCTTTTTTCCAAGCGGACTACTTTCTTTTGCTTAGGATAGCCTAAGAGTAATCCCGCACCCAAAGCTGATCATTTGGACGTGTTTGTGCTAAATGGAACTATTTTGCACGCAAACTCATATCGAGCATTAAGCATAGGTATATGTTCATTCATAAGAAAAGGTTTAAAGTCACCTACTTATTCAACTATACGTTACAAACGAAGAATTCTCGATAGCTTACCACGCTGTTATTTCATTTTGGAAATTATCAATTGTGTTTAAAATGTACACGGTGAAAAAATAAAAATTTCAAATAAACCAGACATTTTTAGTTCAAATTAGTTCAAATTAGTTAAAAAACCAGAGTTTTCATGGTAGCTCCTTCGATATTCCATATTTCAAGGCTAAGCATGATGTTTGTTGTGGAATACTGGAACTAGGTAAATTATCGTTGATTTTGGCCTTTGCAACCAAATGTGGGTGGTTGGGCCCCCGGCTACGAAGCCAAAACATGCAAGTTTGGCCGGCACCATAAATTCATCTGAAAATACACTTCATTAACAGCAAAATATAGAAAAATCTCCGGATTCCAGAAGTTGACCCTTGTTTTGAAGGGGGCCCGAAGAAGAATTTTTGCACTTGTCAATATTTCCCCTTTTTCTCTCAACAAGATAAACATGAGCCAGGATTTCCGAAGTCGCAGTCAGAGGATTACGAAACAAATATTTTAACTCTGGTATAAGCAGTAAAGTATCGCGCGAAACTGAAGGCGTTTTCGATCAGTGGCAACAGTTTGACTCGCTCACAAGAGCTTGGACCGCGTAAACTAAACATAAAGCAACCGTCCTCAAGGTGATCACTGAGTGATCGCTGTGTTAGGATCTTTTATTCTTCGTAAAATGAAAACTTGTAGAATTTTTCTTTTCTTTTTCTAAAGAGGACTGGTAATCCCCTCTGATTCTTAAGAAAACACAAAAGATGAGAAAAGGAGGGAAAGGTCATTTGAACTATATTTGCAGTTTTCTTTGTCGGCCTTACTATTCGATTTGTTGACGTAAAATACCATCTACGTTAAATGATCCGTAAGTTCACATATGACCAAACGTTAAAACGGAACCAAACGGAGGAACCTTCAAAATAGAGTTTGACATATGGAGCGTGCTAACTCAAAAACCGAAGGTGGTGTTTTGACAAACCGATACTGAAGTTTGATGAGCGAGGAGTTTAGTTAAAACAACTGGAAGAGCGCTTTGACGAACTGAAACTTTGGTTTTTCGAACCAGAGGTGCAATTTGTCAAACTAATTAATGAAACGGATACAATTTCTAACACATACACTGTTACAAATTTTGGAGTGAAATTCTGTGTCGGAGTGAACATAATGCTCGAAATATCCGAGTGATATGGATGCGGAGCGGAATCTGTTCTCCTCACGGAACGACTTAGGCAATTACAGAGCGGACTTTACTATTTTTGTGGAGTATCGAACGCTTTCATTGTGCTAATTTCACTTCGCATCCATTGAAGGCTATTTCCATTTAAATCTTCCGTCACATTCATACGGCGCAGTGATACAACTATTTGAACTCTCCGGAATGCGTCAGGTATCACGCCGCATTTGAAGGCGTTTTCAAAACAGCCAAGTTCCGATACCCGGATTATCGTATTGCATAGTTCATATTCTTTTATTATATTCCGTACCACTCGTTTATTTTTAATCCTCGTAAAAAAACCACCCATTTGTAAAAACAATTCTAGCTGAAGCGCACTTCAGCTATGCATTCACCACTGCAAAAATGTCAAAGGAAATCGACAAGCCCAGCGTGCATGAAGGCAGGCCCGCCACAAGGGGGGGGGGGGTGGGGGGTGGGGGGGGCTACTGGGTCCCTGGTACCAGGGCCCGGACCTCGGAGGGGGCCCGTGTTACCCGTGAAAAACCACTACGAATTCACATGCAACCCTTGTTTCGTAAGAAAAAGTGAAAAATTTACCCTAAAAATTTCGCAAAAGGTGAATAGATTTTCAGAAACACGCTGGGGCATTGTAGAATTCCTCTTTAATTTTCAAAGAAGTATACTTCTTAGGAAATTTCTATCTATTTTCAAGATTTTCAGGACAGAGGGATATTTTTAGTAACTGCGTTTCATTTTCTTCCGTCGTCAGATGCTAAGAGTC